CTGTTATCCGAGCGGTACCGCGGTAATGGCCCGCTCCATTACAACTCCTGTACCGCTAGGTTATAACTCGGTTATAATCGAGCGGGCCGGGCCGACGGGTCACGTTTGAATAAATGTGGTGGGACGGACTGTGCTGATTTCAAGAGCCGATTGGAGGATACCTGGTATCGCTGCGTACTTGGACGTAGGCAAATTTTTTCGCTGCTTAAGTGGTGGCCTCCAATCAAATTTTTTTCCATCAAGTGGCATATATATTGCTTGGGGTGTACATCGTCCCACATCTCTACCTCGTGGGTTTCCTTGGTCGGAAGGAGAGCAATTCATATCTGATCTCGTAATCATGGCGGAACCATCTGTAAAAAAGCGGCCGAGGGGCGAGGAGGAGACTGGCCCTGACGAGAAAGAAGACGACGACGAATCTCCTGTACTAGGTAAGATCACATACAATCATCTATATATCCGCAGAGCTTCGTTTTCCCTATTTTCTACTTCATTTGATCGTATGCTGGATTCTCTACCATAATGCACTTGTTGGATGTATTTTCTAATGGCGACGAAGAATGCCGCTCATGTTGCATGACGCATTCTTCGTTGTGTTAGGACATGGTATTTAACATTGATACGTTGCTTAATAGGCGAAAATATTTTCTTAATGTATTAGTGCTCGGGAAATACCTGATTTCTTTACTGCGCTGATTCGTTTGCATGACAGTTGGAAAGTTCTCTGCCCGGTGAAAAATTTCAAGTGTTTTTCCACTCTTTTGAATGTACTTCCGAGGCTGTGCTCCTTGTGATGAGCCTTGAATTTGTAATTGATCATGGGGAAACACCCCCGTATTATGGTTTAAGTGATGGAGTACATGGTCGCTGGATTTTGTCGAACAGACGACTTCTTTTGGAAATTTTCTAATCTGATGGACAGATTCTATGCTGTTACGGCTTCGATTCTTCTGTAGTTGGCTGCGTGGGTGCTACCTATCTGTAAACAGGCCCAAAGGGCGCTGGCTTCGGTCCTGTCACCGCTTGGGACTCCTGAGCTTGAGTTGATGCGGTTCACATCCAAGTTCAAAGGCAGATCCATCGTTCCACGTAACTTAGTCCAGGATTTTGGTGACAAGATACGCACACTCACAATTATGATTTTGGATCAGTGACAACTGCTTTAACGAAATGGGAAATTTACATACATACCACATAATTCTTATGTATTTACGTATCTAAAGCTCAAAGTTTGATATTTACATTTATAAAACCTTGGGGCGGGCCATAAATCCTTCAATGGAAAGGTGCATTTCACCTTTAAAAAGGTAGCGATGGTGGAACTTTTTATGCAGTGCTAAGGATTTGAGTGGTATGCTTGTAAATGTGAATGTTTAGGTGTTAGATATGTAAATAAATAAGTATTGGGTGGTGTAAATGCCCATAACTAAATAAGCACTGAGGCCAATCTTTTTGATGAGTTAACAATGCTCCCACTCCTTCACCTTTTGGCCCCTCAAGTCTTTCACCCTTGAAGAATACTAGAAACACATCATTCTTGTTTTATAGGATATGATTTTGTGTGCTTATTCTTGTATCCGATTTTGTGCTTTCAATCCAGTCTCCTCCAATCTATGAGCTTGACTTGAGAATACATGAACTGCTAAGGAGTCTCAATTTATTTTGAATGTGGTAACTGTTTTTGAATACGAATTTTCTACAAATATTATTATTCTGGTTTGATATGCTGCTCGTTTATTATTATCGTAGTGAATATCAAATGTTTACCATAGATTTAAATTCATTTCCCTTAAAATACATTCAGTTTCAATACTGTTTATTTTGAAAGATTTACATACCTACGACTCAATTCCTATGTATTTTCATATCTAATACCTAAACTTTCATTTTCACATACATACCACATTGCCTTTGCATGAAAATGTGTATTTCACTTTTTTTTTAAATTTTTTAAATTCAAATGGTGGTATATTTTATGTGATATGAAAGATTTGGGCGGCATAAATCTAAAAAGTAAAATATAGGTGTAAATACAAAAGAATTGTGTGGTATGTGTTTTTTTTTTCCATCAATGAGTGACTTCCAATCCTCAAATATCCGTTCTATTTGGCTAAGGAAATTTCACTATTTATTTTTTTGACTATCAAAATCATCATTGACTGTCTCTTCAATATCATATCTCTAATTTTTGGGGATTAGCATTGATCATTTTTTGTTATTTTTATTCTGTCAAGGGATGCACTTGTTCTTCATTATAGTTTATCTCAGACTTGAACAAAACTCAATTTCCTAGTTTTAGCTCTATTGCTTCTACTGTTAAGCCCTTTCACGACTTTCTGCAACTTCCGAAGAAAAATAACCTTTATTATTTTTATGCTGGTGGTTTTTTATTTTTTGATGTATTTATTCAATGCAACTTTATATTTTTGGAAGAGGGTTCATTGAGTCTTGAAGATATAAATTGTTTTTAAATTTGTTCGTGGTTGAGGTTAAATTGCTATTGTGTTCTCTCCCCCACTAGAACGGATGCTACAATTTTCAAAAGAATGATACAAGTCTTAATTCAGTTTTTCTTTTAAAATGCTTTTTTGTTTTATTTATTTTGTTTTCTTCCTAATTTTCATGTCAATGCAGAAAGAAGCTTAGTATTTAATGACACATTAATAGCGCTCAGAATGATGCATGCTCAATTTCCAAAATTTGAGAAGGTATATTTATTTGTTGTTCTGGTATGTTTATGAAACTTGTATAATCTTTCTCCTAGAAGGATGGCGAAACCTTCCCAATGTTATCCTTCTGTCTGCAATCCTGTACAATCCTCAAACCCAAGATCACGCTGATGGCTTTCACTGCAAGTTTTATCAAAATCCATAGTAATATAACCATTATTTTCAAGAATGTAAACGTATATGATTTTTAATGTTATGCAAAAGTTCATTTTAAAAGTCTATTTATGCTCTTCTTTTTATTAATCAAAACTATCAAACTTATTGTAAATATCACCAACCCATGTCCTTAATTCCTTGTCATCGGAAAACCTGAACATGTTAGACCACAACTTTCTTCTATGCAATCAAAACCAGTTTGAAAAAAAATTGATGCATTGATTGATAAGCATATGATGTTAAAAATTCTTGAAATCATTATGATTTGCATAAGAATGTAATATTTTGCTGTTGTATTTGACTTTGTAATGTTTTTACTTATAAATCCTTTAATTTGCAGGTTGCACGTCCTTTTATTTTACAATCACAGTTATATAGTAGCGTAAAGGATAGGACACAAGTAGATAGAGACTTGGAGGTCAGTTCTTTCCTGAATTCTTTGCATCAAGAAGCTAACTTCAAATGCATTTTTTTAAAATTTTATGTCAAACAAACAGATTTCTCTGACTAGCAGAATTAGCTTTTGACAATTCCGTTCAACTTTATAAACTAGGAGAATAAATTTTAGATTAAGTCTCAATCTCAGAAGTGTAGCAAATAAAAATTTATCAGAGTAGAATTTTGAAATTTGAGGTATTTCTGATGGGACCAATTTGCCCAATACGTTGTTAACTTGGCCTGACTAATTGACTATTGTCCAATAACATTGGGTGTAGTTTTAAATTGCACCTATCGAGCATTGACTAACAATTTTGTGTGCTATCTCTAACCATAGTTACTTTTAATTGTAAGCATGCTTTACTTTCCGTGTACAATCTTTATATGAAATACATCATGCTATAAAACATTGCATAACATGTATTGTTCAAATTATTACATATATGTACATTTTCTAAAGAATCTACATGAGGAACTTATACATTAATTTTGAAATTAATATGACTGTCACCTTGGTTGAACATGATAATAGAAGACTCAAAAATGCAGCTTTCTGTATACATTGTAATCAACCTGATTTAAGCATTACAAATGTAGCAAGGATAAAAAAATCTCTTTTCATGTTAATTTTTATTGTTAATAAAAGACATCTCTCTTACCGTGCACATTATTCATTATGGGACTTCTTTTTGTTCTAGTTTGGTGGATTGATGTTTGCAAAGTCTTGCTTTGAATATTTTTTACTTGAAGCAAAGAAATGGTCTGATTGTTATTCTTAGGTTCCACATGATTAAAGTGGTTAGATTGAACTTAGCATGATATACTATCCTTTTTTCCTGGGAAGAAATGTCTTTCTATTTGCCTGTTTGTGCTTGGACATACATACGACACAGTTCTTATGTATTTACATATCTAACACCTAAAGTTTGATATTTACACTTCCAGCACTTTGGTGTCATAAACATTAGCATGAAAATGTGTATTTCACTTTTAAAAAGGAAGTGATGGTGGTATTTTTGATGAGATGTTAAATATTTGTGTGGTTTGCATAAAAATATGAATATTTAGTTGTTAGATATGTAAATACATAAGAATTGTGTGGTTTGTATGTTAATGCCCCAATCATTTTTAGTTCTGATTAATAAAACATTCTGTTAGCTTAGTACTTCATTGTGTGTGTAGGCATAGTGGCAACTGCTAGTTTGCCCTTGTCATGATTGGGAGATCACAGATTTGAATGTGGAAATTGGTTGCACAAGTCATCCTTTCCCTGTCCTTCGGGGCCTGTTATAATGGCAGGAGCTTTTGCACTAGTGTTGGGAGCCTCATGCGCTAGGTGTGTGGCTATTCTGGTATTTTAAGGGGTGGCTTGCCTATAATTTATTTATTTATTTTTGTTTATCATGTAATTTACTTAAAACTTGCTAATTTGACATTCATGGCTAAGTTGGAGCGCATGCACAATAGAAGTATTATAATTGTTGATCCTTGCAGCACCCAATTATTGCATCATGGAGCTCTATTTTTTTTCCTCTTACAGTCATTGAAGAAGGAGAAAGTTCTGCGGCTGTTCAAACTAAATACAGGCCAGGATGACCATGCAATAATGTTTTTTGAAGATTATGTAAACCAGGTAAAATTTTTTGTCCTTCTAAATTACAATGTCACCATCTATGCAGAAGGAAATATATGCACTAGAGATCTTAGGTGCGCCATGTTCTGTTATCATGAACCTACTTTTGGAATATCTCATATTTGATATACTGAAATGCGTCCTTTCTCAGTGTTTTTTAATAATACTTCATTTTTCCTTATTTAAGAGCTTTTGTTTGTTAATTTCTTCATGTTGCTCTTAATTAGTTCTATAGTTTTGTGCTTCTGTGTACCATACAAATTATGGCTGGTGACTTACTGGAAACTTTAGATTTGCATTATAAAGAAGCAAATGATTCCCATTAAAATGGTTTTGTTGCTTTTTAGGTGTTGGAAGGAATTCGTTAGTTGAGAATTCTAGGCCCTACCCGCTATAATACTTCAAGTTTTATGTGCTATTATTTTTTCTCAATGAAGAAAGTTAAGCTCTATGGCCTATATGTGTTTTTAAATCCATTTAATTCGTTTGTTTATTCAAATGAAAAAAGTTCCCTTCATCATGCCCATTAGGGGTGTTGCGGCACAAGGGAACCTAAGATGTGGATGAATTGGCCTGTATTGGGCTATGGTGTGACACTGAGGGTGGTTTTAGATGAGATCACCGAGGTATTATGGATAAGTCAAGGTTGACACTAGGTGAATTAAGAGATTAAAATGCAAGTTAAGATTTCTTTTTGTTTGGGAAGATTTACATACTTACCACTCCATTCTTGTGTATTTACATATGTAACTCTAAATTTCAATTTTTACATATATGCCACCTTACCTATGCCTAAAAAGTTATATTTCACTTTTTAAAAGTTAACATAGTGATATTTTTGATGTGGCATTAAAGATTTGGATGGTATATATTTAAAAATCTAAGTTTAGGTGCTAGATGTACAACAACAACATCTGCAAGCCTTTATCCCAGTAAGTGAGGTCGGCTATATGAATCTTTTTTCTCCATGGCTATTGGGTGCCATATTTTCATTTAATTCTAATAAATTAAGATCATTTTTTATATAATATGCCCAAGTATTTTTAAGTCTATTTTTGTCTTTCGTAACATAAGTCAAATCTGAAGCATCTACTCTCTTAACCGGACATCAGATGATCAACGTTTAATGTGACCAAACTATCTAAGACAACTCTCTCTAATATTGTTCCCCACTGGAGCTACACCAACCCTATCACAATTATATTCTTTTGCATTTTGTCTCTAAGTGTCTAGCTACTCATCCACCTAAGCATTCTCATCTCGGCAACACTTAACTTTATTTTATGCTTCTCCTTTAAAGACCAACATTCTGTGCCTTATAGGTATCGCCACCATCTTATAAAACTTTCCTTTCAATCCAAACAATACTTTTCTCACACACTAGGCCTGATGCATCTCTCCACTTCAACCAACCAACGTGAATTTTACTAATAACGTTTGCATCTATATCACCATCACTTTGAACAATTGATCTGAGATTTATAAAACGTCCACACGTTTTAAAGATTTGATCACTTATAGTTACGACTCTACCAGTAGAGCTACTACTCCTAAAATTACATTCCATGCATTCAATTTTAGTTCTACTAAAATGAAGGCCTTTAGACTCAAATGTAACCCTCCATAATTCAAGTTTTTTCTGGGCTTTTTCTCTCGTTTTATCCACGAGAAGAATATCATTTTATCCACAAGAAGGATATCATCAGCAAAAAGCATACACCAAGGTGCATCCTCCTATAAATGTCCACTAAGAGCATCCATAACTAAAGCAAAAAGATGCGGGCTTAAAGTCGTTCCCTGATGTAATCCAATTGGTCAATCCTCCTTTTGCTCGAACACAAGTAATAACTCTAGTATACATATCTTTAAAGACTTGAATATAAGTCATATTAGCACCTTTCTTATCCAGAACTCTTCAAAGGACTTCTTTTGGAACCTTATCATAAGTTTTTTCTAAATCGATAAAAATCATATGTAAATCTTCATTATTCTCTCTATATTTCTCCATCAAACCTCTCGATGAATGTATAGCTTTCATAGTAGACTCGCTCGACATAAAGCCAAACTGATATGAGAAATTTTTTTGGCACATCTTAACCTATGTTCGATTACCCTCTCCCATAATTTTAAAGTATGACACATCAACTTAATTACTCTATAATTTCCGTGCTGTTGTGGATCTCCTTTATTCTTAAAAAGGGACCAAAATACTCTTCCTTCACTCTTAGGCATCTTTTATTTTTTTAAATAATATTAAGGAGTTTAGCATGTCAAGAAGCTCCCAATTCTCCTAAATATTTTCACACTTCAATTGGGATATCATCATATTCTACTGATTTTTCATTCTTTGTTTTCTTTAAATCTTCCTTAACTTTCTTTTACTAATGCAATGGTAAAAATAAAACATTTTATTATTATTAACGATATTAAGATCACTAAGGTTGATCATATTTTCAGAAACTTTATTGAAAATTTTATCAAAATAGCTTACCCACATATATTGAATATCTTCCTCTAAGAAAAATATTTTTTGATTTTCATCTTTAATACACTTTACTTGAGTTAATTCTTTACTTTTCTTTTCTATTTGTTTGACTAGTTTATACATATATATTTTCACCCTCTTTAGTATCTAATATATTATAAAGATTACTAAAAGTAGAATTTTTAGCGTCACCAATTGTTCTCTTAAACTCTCTACGGGCCACCTTATATTTTTTCCATTTCCTTGTGCTTTTACATTTGAACAAATCTTTCCTTGCACATTATTTTTCCACCACCAAATATTTATATTTATAGAAACTTTTCATTTAGATTCTCCAAGTATATCTTTTGTCACTTGTTTAATAGTGTTGGTTACTTTATCCCATATATAATTTGCTTCTTAGGGTGTTAGAATATAAATACTAAAAGTTTAAACGTCCCGTCGCCGCTTTTTTGTCTTTTGAGCTGCGTTGATTTATTTGAAAAATTCTTCTGGTTAATTTTTTTTCTCTTCAAAATTGCTAACGAAAGCGAATTTGCATGGAGCCTATTAATGTTTAATTGTATGAATATTAGCTATGGAAGGATGCTCCATTTAGATTTTTTATGCTTCATAGTTACTTCTTTTATTTTCTAGTTCATTGACTAGCATAAAGGGTTATGTTGATTCATGAAATTTAAAACGTTTAACTTGCTTTGCAAAGCTGGTTCTACGAGGTAAAAAGTTATGAAGCAGTGTCTTTCATTTTAAATTTATTATCATTTTGTTTTAACTTTGAAATTATTTGGTTTTTAATGCTACTTTCCTGTTTGGTGCAACTGAATAAAAATGTCTTATGTAAGACATTGTTCATGAAGATTGGAGGTTTATGATTAGCATTTATTGTGATGTTTTTATATAGATGGATTTTGCAGTGAAGAAGTTAGGTGCCAGAAATCAACATGATATGGAAGTTTTTGAGTGGTTCAAAGTACATGTAATTGAATCCAAGCTGGATGTGAGCATAGATCATCAGGAGTTGGTTAGTTATCTCTTTTCTGTTTATGATTAACTTTGCTAATTCAGCGTGTTGGGTCCTTTAATCATGTGTTATTAGTATTGAACTCTATCCCAAATTTCTTATTAATTGAAAATGGGCCACAAGATTAGCTACAGAGTTAGCGAATGTTATTTAAAGAGGATCACAAGCTAGACCCAAATCATTGATATTTGATCATATATTATATTTCAAAATTCTCTAATTGATCCATCGTAATTTAAAGTATCTAAATGCTAAAATTCATTTTGTGTTTGATTTTGTTCCTTGTTAAAACATATTTTTATGTTGGGGTTTTTACATATGGAGAGATATCCAAACTGTGCAATTTACATCTTAAGATCCCAAAACTTTTAATCTACGCCTGAAGGACTAGCGTCCTCCAACAGCATCTTCTGTAAGCTTTTCGCCAACCTGATGGAGGTCAAAAAGTGAATGTTTCATACCATCAAAATATATCAGACTATAAAATTGATGGTGCTACCATTTTACACAACCTACTTCATGCCCTATAGTATGAGTTATAACTGCTGCTATGATTATTCTGCATGAATGCGTTAACCAAGGTGTTATCAACTGATATTTGTTGACAGGAAACTTATGAGTCTTCTAAGTGCAAGACAGAACATTTTTCTTGAGATCATATTACTTACGAAAAAAATTGTAAAAATCTCTCTCTTTCAAGTTTTGAAGTTTTTTCTATATATTCTGTTAGGGCTGACTGCCTATTGAGTCTGTGGTTAATCGTACTAGATTTTCCATTATCAGGGTTGTAGGTGTTTAATCTAAAACATACCACACTGCTACACAGAAAGTATAGGATTTCAGTTTTTTTGTATGGGATCCCCCAATTCAGTTTGATCACAGTGGTTTTCAACCATTTCGTTTGCTAAAATGATTATTACTATTGTGTTTGACATTTTTCTATTCTTTTTTGCACTATAGTTCATATTGTTGTCAGCTGGAGGCGATGTGACAGATGAGGATATAACACTTCTAATCAATGCTGGTCTTCTTGTAAGTAATGCTTAAAGTCCAACTCATTATAGCCGGGATTTTTATTCATGTTTTAGAAAAAATGGTCATTTACATACATACCACTCAATTCCTATGTACTTACATATCTAACACCTAAACTTCACTTTTTACATTTATACCACCCAAATTTTTTCTGTCATATCAAAGTGTACCCCCATTTCAATTTCTAAAGAGTGAAATACATCTTTTCATGCATAGGTGTTAGATATGTAAATACATAGGACTTGAGGTATGTATGTAAATCTTTCTAAAAATAATGGTAAGCTAAATTTGTATTTCGTGGTATCGGGTCTGCTTGATGGTACTATAGATGAATTCTGGCATGACTTAATTTGACCATTTTCAGCACAATTAGATCAATTAATTTTCTAGTTCTTTATCGGTGCAAGGAAATGTTGAGGAGATATATATGTGGGTAATTTATTATACAGTGTGATATTGCATATTTAGATTTGATTATCTAAACCCCTCAATGACTGATTTTCTTATCTCGGTGAGAAGCTATTACAATGGTAAGGGGCTATGGGATACATTTTAATTATCAAATAACCAATTTTGTATACGAATGATAAGTGATCGGCCAAGAAGAAATTATGTCAATGTTCCAATTTGCGTGCATTTTTTTGGTTGTTACTTTGTTATGTTCACTTTGCCATGGTAAGTGTTGGATTTTTTAGAAAGATCATATTTTTAGTATCTACTATTATTAGTATTTTCTATTTTTAGGATTCATAATTATTGGTATGTCATTGATTTTCTTCTTTTATTATGGAGAATTATGACTGATTTTATAGCTCTCCTAATGTGGAAGTTATCTCTTTCTATTTATCTTGTAATCATTTTCTACGAAATTGAGAAGAAATAATTATTTTTGTTCTTCGAAAACCTACATGGTATCAAAGCCTGATTATCCCTTTGAAGCTGCATCGAATACAACCAATCATTTGCGGGTTTCGCTTGCGAGAGCCTTTGCATCGCACCACTTCTGCTCCTCCCCGGGTTTGCTCGATACCATCGCCTTCGTGACTAACCCCTTTGTGATATAATTGCAGTCAAATGACTGGGCAACAGAGTTCAGAGACCCTTCTCCTCGAGATATAGTTGCGATTAGAGCCAACATGGAATGCAACAACTGGATCGCGGCTTCATCTCCTTGCAATACAGTCGCAATTAGAGCCCACAGGGAAGGCAACAACTAAAGCACGAAATTTGAGGGATTTGGATATGCTTTTGCTCGGTTTTGACATCGCATCTTTCTCACGATCCCGTCGTCAAGCTTCTACACTTACCATGACATAAAAGATTTCAACTACTACTTCTTGTTGCTCTACTTTGATGTCGGAAGTGCTTCTCAACGCAAGGCTTCTTTCTAACAAATACTATCGCCACACCTTTGCATTCTTCTCTTTCTCTTCCGCTTTTTTGTTTTTCGGTGACGACTTCTTCTCCGTTTGTCTTTCTCGGTCTTCGACGCTATTGAAATTTGTAATTTTAGAAAAGAGATTTGTTTTAATTTCTCTTCTAGTTTTCACGAAGAATGCTTCCATTCCTAAGTGTTGTGAACTGATAATCAAATTAAATCGGAAGTAGACCCATCAAATACTTAAATTGTTTAAAACCCTTAGGCTTCTCTGCTGGAGCCATCTCTGCCAACTTCACCTCTACTCAACTTTAAGCATCGAAATATTTCGCAGCCGAGATTGACTCAGATTTTCAAACTTACTCTATTCTCTCCTCTGATGATGTCATATAAATAGGCAATGATTGACATCCAAAGAAATTCTACTATTTTTACGGGTTCCAATAATTCCAAAATCCATTTACCCTACCCATGGCGGTGCAAGCATTATAAAAAAATCATGACATACGAATGAAACATGTTGGAAGATTCATGATAAACACATAAATTGGAAACTAAAATCTAAACTTAAAAGTTGGGCCTATTAAGTTATTACTGATGAAACTAAGTGTTTCTACCAATTGAGATGCAATATCTTTCACTAAGGAGCAATTGGAGCACCTCCACAAGTTATTTCATTCCCTAAAACTATCACTGACTCAATCTTGCTCCTCAGTACAGAAGGACAACTCTTTAGTCACTGTATTGTTATTTGTTAGCCTTAGTTTTATCCAATTTTGGATAATTTATTTGGTGCATCTGATCATATGCCTGGTTCTACATTATTCACACCTTATAGACCTTGTGCAGATAATAAAATGATCAGTTGTTTTCAAAGATTTATATTATGCTATGACATTATAGGTTAGACCATCTAGTTTCTAGTATTAAAAATTTTTGTTTCCCAATTTATTTTAAAATAAAAATTTGTCATCTTTATAATGTGAACTTTGTCAAACATCATCGTGCATCTTTTTCTTCCCAAATTTACAAACCAACTACATATTTTGCTCTGATTCAAACTGATATTTGGGGTCCTTATAAATATCTTACACACTCTTGAAAAAAAATTATTTGTTACGTTTATTGATGGTCACACAAAATTTAGTTGTATTTAATGAAAAAAAATCTGAAGTGGAAACAATTTTAAAAATTTTTTACACCATGATACAAACAAAATTTTTAAAAACTATTTAAATATTACAAAGTGATAATGCCCGAGAGCATTTCAAAAATGTTTTGGGTCAATTTTTTCTGTAAGAAGGAATACTTATTCAAAGCTCGTGTTAATACCTCTCAATAAAACTTATTGGAAGTATCTTGAGCATTGTTATTTACAAATCATAATCCAAAAGATCTTTGGGGTGAAGCTGTTCTTATTACTACATTTCTCATTAATAAAACACTCAATAAAGTTTTGAACTTTGGAACACATTTTGATGTTTTTTTTTAAAATTAACCCAACAAATCGACTTTCTTCTGGTTTACATTTAAAGATTTTTGGGTGTACTGCATTTATTCGTATTCATAGCCACAATCAAGAAAAACTTGAACATCGAGCCATAAGATATGTGTTTGTTGGTTATGCTCCTACCTAAAAGGGTATAAATTTTTTGATCATTTTTCTAAAGAAATGCTTCTTTCCATGGATGTCACTTTTTTTAGTTACACTCCTTTTTTTATCTCATCTTTCAGAGGGGGAGGGACAAAACATTGATTTGAATGCTAGTTTGCAGGACTTTCTTCAAACCGAAGACTCACAAAATAAAATCCCCCCCCACCCCCCCCCACATAAAAAGTTCCAAGCTATATTATATCAGAAGAAAGCGAGTCGAGTTTTGTTAGATATTGAAGAAGATTTATATCTTCCTTAAATGCCATCTCATGATGCTCATAATCGTATAACAACTAACAAAAAGGAGACAAAAAAACTACGACTTTGGTACTATTTGACATTATCTACTCGCGACAAATGACAACTCAAAAAAAAAAAAAGTAAATTTGTTGCTTGCCCAAAATCCATGAATTGTTCGGGTAATGTCCTCATGGAGCCTTTAGCCCATGATCAATCAATTTCATCTTAGTGTTCCGATTTTCTTAGTCCTGAACCTGAGTCTAGCCCTAATTCAAAATCTAATGATTTCAATCATCCCATTTCTGCTTGTAAGGGAGAGAGGTCTTGAACCAAACACTCATTTCATTGTGTCATATGAAAATCTCTCACATATTTTTTAGACTTTTACCGCATATATGTGTTATATGGAGATTCTTAATGTTGTGCAGAATTCTCTGAAAGTTCCTAAGTACTAAGTGGAAGGAGGTTGTCTTCGAGGAGATGAAAGCTATAAAAAAGGCGGCTTTTGAGAATTGGTTGATCTATTTAGAGGGAAGAATATTATATGTAGAAAATTGATTTGGAGAGGAACAATTCTATTGATATCTATTATTCACATGTAGAGTACATATATACAAAAAAAATAATCCCTGCTAATTTACCAACTTACCAAATATATTTAACCTAAATTAGGAAAGGAAATAATTCTGAAATAAAAAATAAAATAACTTAGAATAGAAGGAAATAAACTAATCAAGAGTTTCCTAAGTTGTCTCTATCAAATCCTTCAGCTTCTAGATTTCTATACTACCCTTAAGCTGGGTCATAGATGTTGTAGTGACCAAACTTGGTATTGAACTCTGAGAATGTGTTTAAAGGAAAAGCTTTTGTGAAGACATCAACAACTTGTTGGTGTGTCGAGATGTAAACTTCAGTATGCTTGGTCCATCCATGATGCATAGGATTCTTGGCAATAATATTGGCAATAATGATAGTTGTTTGACTATCACAAACTATCTGTATAGATCTACTGGGGGTACATCCAAGTTTCCTTAACAATTTCTTCATCTAGATCCCTTTGTAGATTCCCAAGGCGAGTGCTTTATACTCTGATTTTGCACTGCTTCCAGAAAAAAGTGCTTGCTTCTTACTTCTTCGTATCACCAAATTTTCTTATACATAGGAGCAATAACCTATGGTGGATTTTCTATCATTAAGCTCCTTAGTACAACTAACATCAGTGTAGACTTCCACCTTTTTGTTCCTTGTTTTCTCAAAAATTAATCTAGAACTAAAAGTCTTCTTGAGAAACTTCATAATTTTGTACTCCATCTCTAAGTGCTCTTCATTTGGGCTATTCATGTGTCGGTTTACAATACTGATAATGGTTGGGATCCATTGGAGTATCAGCAGGATTGCATCCAATCATTCTTGTCTCTTTTGGTAGATCTAAGATGTATTTCCTTTGTGATATAATTATGCATTTCTTTGACCTTGCTACCTCCATACCTCGAAAATATCTCATGGTTTCTAAGTTCTTGATTTCAAATTCTATGGCAAGTACTTCTTTGATCTTGAGAATCTCTCTTTTATTAACACGGTAATAATCATATCATCCACCTATATGATTAGTGCAACAATCATATCGCCCTAACTGTACTTTACAAACATAGAGTATGATCAGTTTGACTTGAGAATACTCATTAGATCTTAGAGTTTTGACAAACTTTTTAAACCATACTCTTG